GCCTGTGCGCGGGTGGGCGGGCGCTGCAGGCCGGGCCCGGGGGAGAGGCGCTGCCCCGAGCTGTCACGCTTGGAGAAGTAAATCTGATCTCCTGGCTCTGAAGGTTTTCCGAAATTAATGCCTTTTTATGGATCAGCGTACGTGTTCCGGAAAAGCGGATAAACTCTTATGGCGAGGGGAAGTAACTGGCGAAACTTGTTGGTTGGTTGCTGCGAGGTTTAACTACCTGCACTGTTATGAAAAAGTCGTGTTGTTTTAGTCAGAGTTTATTCGTTGTGAGCGTCCAGACTCTGGAATACTTTTGTGCTTTTTTCAGTTAAGAATTGAAACGAAGGTGAAAGGTACAGGAAGCATGTTCCTGACAGAAAGAGCTTATTCTAAATGCCATTCACAGGGGTAGAGAAGCAGCCAGTACTGACTGTTACGAGACCGTAGGAAGTTTGTGTGAAACTTTGAAAAATATTTCTTAATAACATAATTATACCATATAATCTGTAAGTACAATTACTAAACATGGCGTATAGTTGCTTTTTAGAAGTACTTCCCTCCTTGCCACGCTTGCTACAGTTCATATGGATGGGAATTGCCATTTTGCCAGTTTTCCTGATGTTATTTTAATATTATTGTACCACAAAATAGATAAAATCTGTCTACCTTCACATGCTGATTTTAAATTTTGTGCCTCATTTTCCTGAGCAAATAGGAGGGGAAGGGAGAGAATAAAAAGGAATGCAGTAAATATTGCTTTAGATGATAAAGTAGATACACAATATGCAGCTAGATATAGTACATATGATACAATAGACATGCAAATAGATGTTTTTAATATCTTGAATACGGAGACATGCATTATTAACTCTTGTTTGGGCATAGATCCAGTAAAAATCTTATGTTCAAACTTATTTTCTTGACTATCTATATGCTTTCTATTGCCTGGTATATTGGGTTAAGTTGAAGTCTACCTAGCTGACTCTAATTATTCAAAATTGCTTTTGTGAAAACTTACACTTTAAAAGAAAAAAGGTTATGAAAAACTAAAATCTTCTTGGAAGTAAAAATATATAAAATATATTCTTTATGGGACATTTTCAGACAGTAGTTGAGGGTATAGCAACAGTATGTTTAGTGTAATTTAACTTTGAATAATACAATCTTTTGGGAATGCAAATACTTCCAAGATTTAAACATGCAAGAGCTAAAGGAAGAGCAGATAGATCTATGCTATCAAACAGTTTTTAAAAATAGTATTTACAAAATACTCCGTTTTCCAAAAAAGGTAAAAAATATGTTGTTTGCATCTCATAATTTTGGGGCATATGGTTTATCCTTGGGTTTTCAAATATTTACAGCATGTTCTGAGTTGCCCTTTTGCTCTCTGCATATGCCCATGGACCAGTGTCCTCAAGCTTAGTTTTGAATCTTCTACTTTTACTAGAAATAATTGCAAGGGTCTAGAAATGCACAAAATGCATTCAGACATGTTGCTAAACTGAAAATAGATTATTATATTTTGAAGTGGTTTTATAGTGGCAGGCTTTACCTTGGTACATTTGTTTTGTGTTTGTTTTTTAATTTATTATATTAATCTTTTGAGCAATACAATAGCAGTGCAGAATGCTAGAATATTGATTGTGTTCCTTGTACTAGATAGAAAATATACCGCAAATATTCCTTTCCTTATACTGTCTCTCGGTGATTTGGAAACAGTTCTAGAGTTTATAAATGTTATTTAAATAGAGGTAAGAAATGCAGATGTTACAGTCAATGAGCTTTTGGAAAGGCTTCTCACAGGGCCTCCTACATGTGGTAATTTTCCTCTTGGTGGCTGGGCAGCACTGGATAGGTGATGAGACCGTCTTTTAAATTCTTTAGTATGACAAGTTGTTTCACCTGTTCAGAACAATTTTTTCATTATTCTTATGTAACCTAATAGGCTAAATAAAATTTATCAGTGCCTGGAAACGTACCCTCTTAGATTTCTTTTATCCTTTATCAGTGTGCAAAACTAATGAGATTAAAGCTTTAGGATAAATCAGATGGGGGAATTTATTTTTGGAATTGATTGTCCACTAGGAGTTGTGAATAGGTTGTCCTAGTTCTGCCTCCTTTGTAAAAATGTTGTAATTTTATGTTATGAATCAAAAAATGGCATTAATGTAAGAGGAAAAAGTTGAAAGGAATACATCAAGCAGATATATTCCTTAATTTAAGTTAGCATGCAATTACTTGAATTTATCTGATAGAATTTTGACATTTTTTCTTTTCATCTTACTTCTAGTAAGCATTTATCTCAGTCTCTCTGGACACATTATTTTATGTTAACCTATGTAGTATTTTATTCCGCTCACCTTTGAGGTGGGGTTTTTTGTAGGGTTTTTGTTTGTGGTTTTTTTTTTAGGCCTTTGATCTTTTTCCTGAAAGTGTTTTCTAATATACTTCTATCATTGGTCTGTTGTTTACTTCATACAATCTGTAGGCTTTAGAAAGATACTGAATTATCCTCTATAAAACTGCTGTACAATCTGAGTTTAGATGCTGGATGTGATGGGATAGCTTAGGAACGTGCATAAGAAATCCTGTTGCTTAAGTTGTGTGAGTAGTATTAGACAGATTTGAGAGTCATAATTTTCTCCTCAGTTTCATGCTTCCCTTAAGCGTGGAATATAACACATGGGTTTTTCATCTGTAGGCTTGGTTTTGCCAAACTTTTCCTCCAGTGGAATTGGTGAAGATGCTGACTGGAGATTAGGATGAGTAGGCTTGTATGCAGTCATTCTTTTTGGTTTTGTCTGTCTTTTTTTCCATGGTTAGCTAGTTTGCAGTATTTTTAGTTCTGATAAGACTATCCTAACAAAGAATATTCAAAGTCAGAGTGTGTGCCTTAACTTCTGTACAGTTCCACTATCATGAATTATCAAATTTTATTATGAGGTTATCTAGGAGCAGCAATATACAATAAATTGCGCAAATAAGAGGTCAGAATTTCTGCTCTGAAGGGCCTTCAGTTAAATAGGCAAGATGCACAACTAATGGAAGGGGGGTGATTGGTTGTTCATCAATACCTTTTCTTACAGATGAGTGGCTTGTCTGATTGCAAGTCAATGCTGCTTGATATCCACAATCCTACAATTATTGCAGAATTGTAGCTGTTCTTATTGCCTCTGCTATTTTATTGGTACAGGAGGTAATGATACACTGTTGGCTCCAACTCCAGAAACACCATGCATGTATTTTGTGTGTTTGGGTTTTTGTTGTTTTTTTTTCTTTGTTGTTTTTTTGTGATTTTTTTTTTTTATAAGCTTGATGATTTTTAAAATTTCTTGTGATATAAATTAAGCACAGAATTGATTGTATTATTTGGTCCTTATTTTTGACTATAATTGTATTTTGCACTCTCTGTACTTTTTTTGTCTAATGATTCCTTTATCCTGTTTATTTTTTTGTTGTCTAATTTTTATTTTGTAATTCACTAAGCTTGTGCTACTGTGTAGTGAAGGGCCATTGGTAGACTTGCAGTTAAAAAAACCAACCCCAAAACACTTTAACCAAGTTAGAAAAAAAACCTAGAGAAATATCCTCAGTCTTATAATCTGGAATCTTTGAATTTCCTCTCTGGTGAAACATCAAGTAATCTCCTCCATGGATGGGTTTCCTGAGTCAGGTGCTTAACTGGCTCAGCAGACGTCTTAAGGCTCATAGTTCTGAGGGAGAAACTCGACTATTACTTAAATGCTGACTTAAGCAGCTGTAATTGAGCCTTAAATTTTTGAGGTTCTGAGGTAGAGGCAATGTTCTATGTCTTTCCTACAACTTTAGAAATGATGGCGGATGATTTAGACAAATTCATTGAAGATCAGAAGGCCAAGTTGGCACAAGATAAGGCAGAACTTGAAAATGATCCACCTTACATGGAAATGAGGGTAAGAGTATTAAATAGTTTTCCTGAATTTAAACATTTCTATTGCTAGGGTTTTGATTTAAGCTTGCTTTTACTGTGCTCATAAAAAAGTTTTATTGTTAAAGTATATATTAAAGATTTATCTATTCAAAGTAATTTCTAACTTAAGTACTTCATATCTGTATTTATGTAGATTTTTAAAAGCTTTTTGCCACCAGATATACACAGTAACATTTGTATTTTACAAGTGGGAAAACTCTTATAAATGGTTATCATTGTTCCTTCCCCTCCTTGAGCAGGGAAGCTGACTAGCAGGGGTCTGCTCTTTGCCCACTCCAGAGCGTGGGTGTTGGGATGGGGATGGAAGTATAAATACGCTCAAAATTTCTGTTATGGAAACTAGGAAATCTAAAACGCAAATTACTTAATCCAATCAATTATAACAATTTTCCTATTAGAAATTTTAGTACCTAATTCCAAAGCTGTAAAGATTTTATGATTTGCAGATCACCATTAAGTTGTTTAATAGTGCCAGTACCTGGCAAAAGCTGTATCTAAGTAATTCAAGCTAGCTAAGCGTTATGGTAACTAACCAAAGTTCTCAGTAAAAAAAGGAGTTTTGATTTATCTGTTGTTTGACTCAGAAAGCCCTGAACAGCTTGAGTTTTACAGCTTTCACTCCCTTTTTTGTTTCATCAGAAGGTTTATGAAAATTCATAATACCCCTTCTGTGGGTAATATAAGTATTTTTATGTAGCTACAGTAAGTCTCTCCAGAAATTTTTATTAATTCACTCCAGAAAGTTAATTCTTAGGGAGCTCTGAGGGGTTGGGCTTCCTTCATTTTTGCCTCCTCTGCTCAGAGCAAGTTTAAAGAGGAGAATGTTTCCAGCCTATAATTTGATAAAGTCCTAAGCTGTATGGTGAAAGTATAGTTACAGGGAACAGGTGTGTTAAACTTACCCTGTAATTCTTCTAGAGTTTCTAGCAGGGTGCAGTATGTCAAATCATCCCCTATAAAAAAACAGAGAGGATATGTCTAAACTATGAAACAATTATGTATTATGACATAAATCACAATATATGTTTTTGACATATTTCATGACATGAAATAATATTGACTATAATGAACTTACAACGCTTGTGTTGTAGAGAACTACTTTTTGGTAGTATTAGCAAAATGTATAGCTTGCTTAATGTATTAATCCAAAATCACTTTCAGTATCTCTATTCTGGAGATCATTATGTTAATACTGTTGTTCTTATATGTGATATTTCTTTTACCTTGTGATACAGAAAAGTGTTCTGTTTTGTTTTCAGAATAAGGAATCGGAGAAGCTTTTTGAGACTAGCAAAATGTTAATCTCCATGGCTAAAGAAAATATACCTCCAAATAGTCAACAGAACTATCCTTTAGGTATAGTGTATTTTTGTTATACGTCTTCTAGATTTAAGTAGCATTTAATTACTTTTGAGAATTTTTGGAAGGGAATTACTGGTTTGGATTTTTAATTGAGATGTTCATTATAATTCATGTGCGTACCAATTCTTCAGTCTTCCAAATGTCTCGGGATTATGCGGAATTTTTTTTGTAGTTATACTTTATTTTTTAATAAGGAAAATATGCCAACATTTTTGGAAGTTTTATTATGATCAGCAGGTTAGTCCTGGTGTGCATAATTCTTTGCTTAACTGTGGAAACATACAATATAGAAAATAGAACATAGTAGGTAGCATCCCAATGGTTGTGACAGACCACTACATAACAGTTAAGCTATTAAATATTAAAATAATTTTATCTCTTGTTGGAGAGCTGCAATAGCACATGTCATGTTGTGTTTATTATAAATCGGACTTAACTGTTGACACTTAAATATAACACACATAATGAAGTATAGAGATGAGGGGCATTCAGGTGGTCTTAAATGAAAAGCAACAAGTAGGTATTGCTTGGTCGTGGTTTAACCCCAGCCGGCAGCTAAGTACCACACAGCCACTTGCTCACTCCCCGGCTCAGTGGGATGCGGGGAGAGAATCGGAAGGGTAAAAGTGAGAAAGCTCGTGGGATGAGATAAAAACAGTTTAATAACTGAAATAACAATAAAAAAATTGTAATGAAAAGGAAAATAACAAAGAGATAGAAATAAAACCCAAGAAAGACAAATGATGCAAATGAAAACAATTGCTCACTGCCAACCGACCAATGCCCAGGCAGTCCCCGAGCAGTGCTCATTT